AAGGAATAAAATTGTTAATACTCCTCCGGTCCTTATTATAAGACCCCATTTGAATTTTTATTTGGTCCTAATTATAAGACCCCAATCCATTTTGTTTATTATATTTATGCATTTTTTTCCAAGATAATCCTTCTAATAATGATAGTTTTAGCCAATATACTTAATTAGCAAGGATATTTTAGGAATGACAACACTTATTTATTATAAATAACCAACTTAACTTACTTCCTTAATCTCCTCAAAAAAGTCAATTGGGTCTTATAATTAGGACTGGAGGAGTAATATATTTTTTATTAACATATATTAATAATATATAAGATAATATAATTAATAAATAATTAATATGTATATATATTTATAAGATATAAGATTAAATATATTTATAAAAAATATGTTTATAAAAAAACAACAAGATACATATCCTATAAGCTCTGACATTCTCCCCTTTTTCCTCCAAAAGTAAAAAATTTCTGTTTTTTTCAAAACCATGGTTTTGATTTTTTTAAGGATGTTTGGCTAACATTTTTCCCAAACCATGGTTTGGGTCCCAAAACCATGGTTTGAGGTGCTTGCCAAACACACCCTTAGTCACATGCCGTTTACCTTATCAATTGCAACCGAATTTTTCCCTCTAGACACTGCCGCAAATGAAGCTGTTATCTGCTGCACAGCTTACGTTTGAATATGGTCGAAGCTAATTCCTTATTGGAAAACGTGTGTTGGGTAAATGTAGGAGTTGAGTAGTTCATGGGATATCAAAGCACTTCCAACATTCTATTTTCTGAAAGATGGACGACAAGTAGAGAAGCTTGTTGGGGCCAACAAGTCAGAGCTACATAAGAAGACAGCCACGATGGCTATGTTATCTAAGGCTCCTCATTGAGTCCCACCAACGTATCTTCCACTGGCTGCATCAGCATTATTGCTACAAATATGTATAAATCAGTTCTATTGGAGAGCGAGTAATACACTGGAGGAATTATTGCTTTTTCAATGCCAAAAGAGTCATTCATCTATTTGATTTTCACTTTTAATTAGGGCCACGAGTACCATTTATACTGAACATTATCAGAGAAAAGTATAATATATGAATTTTGCACACATTGGATACTTTCTCCCTCATATCGACTACTTCTCCGGTCCTTAATATAAGACCTATTTAACTAATTTGATTAGATTAAGAAAGTTAGGTAAGGTAGTTAATTATAAAAAATGTGAAATGTTTTTCCTAAAATACCATAATCATCTTTCTTAATACCCCATCTTCCTCTTTTATTTGATTATGGTTGAGGGAGTATTCATAGGAGTAATTTAGAGAAAATTGATAAATATAAGAAATGGGTCTTATATTTAAAACTAAAACCAACTCAACAATTAGATCCTATATTAAGGACCCGAGGAGTATTAAGTGATAAAGCTTGCTTGTGTTAAAGCCTGAGAATGCGCATGGATCACCTGGTTTTGATGTTATGGTTTGTGACTCGTTTTGAGCTGAGGCTGTGGGAAGTAGAAGTATATGAAGTCTGAAATAATAGACTAAGCTAATAGTTCTGGCAAAAAAAAAAAAAAGGCTAAGTATATAACAGTGATATGAACATGTCCCATTATCTGAAAACAAGTTTCCTTTCCTCGTTGATGTGTTTAGAGGGGTGTTTGGCAACCCTCAAAGTCATTTTTGAAAAGCATTTTTTCGTAAAACGAGACAAACTCATTCACATATTTATTTCGTAAACTGTAAAAACACTTTTGAAATTCTGATTTGATTTCCATCCAAACACTCCCTAGATCGCTGGTGCGTATTTGTCCAAGTCACTTACCTATCATATAACTTTTTAGCATTTCAATTAATTTGAGGGACCGGCAAAGGAAATAGATAAATTTGCTTTAGGGGGTGCTTGCGACGTTGGGTTTATTTTATTTTGAGTGATTTTATGTTATACAAGATAAATATATGAGAGGAATTTTTCTCATAATTTCTAAGAGAAAACCTGCTTTTGAAGGAGTAAAAAATAAAATAAAAAATTTCTAAAAAAATTTGAAGGACCAAAACTTGTTATTTAAAATTTGAGGAAACAAAATAAAAAACAAATTTAAATAACCCAAAAAAATTTTTTTGGCCAAAACCAAAAATTATATTAATCCTTAAATTATATTAACCGCCTCTCGATCGCCTGATGGTTGTTAACTCTGTTACAAGCACATGCCGTGCGTTCGATTCGGCATGCTTCTGCTTCGCTCTGAATCTGGAAAATTATATTAACCCTTATACTAATAATAAATTTATTAAAACAATTATGCCACGGTTAAAAAGTGGTGTTCCCATAACATTCTCGCCTCGGCCACTATCAGAAACTGGAGAGCAGAGACGAACTTACGGTTTGCTTGAAGATGGAATCAGCGAAGGAAAAGGGAAGGAGGGGTCCCTCAGCTTTGGCTTAGGAAGTTGCATCCAACGTCAAAAGCTGCAGCTTTCACGAGCAAGCCAAAGAGGACGAATGGCGTGGAGAAAAACGGGCTATGGTCGCTGTCCAGTTCATACACTGCACATGGTGGCCACTTCTTTATCATCGCCTCTTGTTGCTCTCCCTTCACCACCTTATCGTGCTTCGTCCTTATGTACACGCGCCTCACCTTCTCCACTTCCCTTCATCGTCAAATCGCGCGCTGGTCAGAGCTAGAAGCGGCCCGGGCTTCAAAAGCATCGCAGCTAAGGTTGAATCCTGAAACCCAAACGGCATTTCTTTGTGTGACATTACTGAATTGATAAGTCTTTAACTGTTTAGATATATGATCTAGGTTTTCATGTTCTCGCTAAAAAATTGGGGGCACTGGCTATAGCTATTTATGGTCCTACTCGTAGAAAAAGCAGATCTAGAAATTGTGGGCTGTGGGGTATTCTACAGCTTAAAGTCCTGAGAAAGTAATAATGGTTTTAAACAGTTTAATGGAGATTTCATTTTTGCCCTAGCTGCTTTGTCTGTTTTTTTTCCTAATTTTTGGAGTGATTTACCTCATGGGGGCTCAAATGGTATATGATTTTGCGTTGAAACTCTTTCTTCACCACAGCACTTGTCGGGGGCTTATCCTTTCCCAGTCCAAATCCTAGCTCGTACACATCCCCAAACTCAGATATGTCAGGTACCCCCTGCTTGATGCATAACGTAAACATCTCTAAGTATATCATTATATCCAGAGTTTAGGGGCCACAGAAAGTTCGCTTTCTGATGTCAAGAAATTCAAGCAATTAGGGGTTCACTTGCAATTATTTGCTTCTGTTCAATTCTTGGCGCTACGTTAGACTCAGACACAATAGAAATTGCTATTATCAGTGGATGATAAAGTAGACCTGTGGGTGTTTTGCTTTCCAGTATATCAAAAAAAAAAAAAGTAGACCTGTGGGACAGGGTTGTCGGATATAATTCCTGTTCAGGTTAAGAAAAGGAAGAAAACACGACATTTAGCAATTTCTTGTTTGTTGGAAACAGGATAACGTGGCTATAAAAAATGCTTATAAAGTTGTGATGATTATTATCACAATTTGTGTTATGGGTTTTAGATGGCAAGAAATTACTTGATATAGATAAGCACAGTTCGAAATGAAAAACTTCATTAGATTCGAGAAGGTAATGATTGTGAATGAGTTAGGGCATCATGGGGGGGGAATTTTGCAAAGGATTTTCTCTGTTTAGGTTAGAGTAGACTCCTCGTCATCATTTTTCAGAATCAACCGCACGAAGGAGATAAGCACGCTGGGTCACAATGCATGAGATGAAATAAAGAAGATGACTTTTAAAGCCATTGTTATTGACTCTGATAAAATTAACAATAGCAGTTTGATGGCAGAGGAGAAAACATTGAAAACGAAAAAATGGAGGGCAGGCTAAGCAGGCATCGTAAGTGGTCTACCTTGTGAAGTCTAACAATGGCACAGAACGTTAAACCGTCTCCTAGATAAGGGCAAGAAGAAAGGGAGGAAAGAAGGGGGAAAGGAGGGAGAAAAGACAGAAGCCCCCCATTTTAAAACAGTGGCTACATTGTTTGTTTATGGGGGTATTATTCGTTTGAAAAGAAAAAAAATATGACAGAGTAAGTGAGTGCTTTGCATAATAGTACTGTTGAGCCTCAGACTTGCCCAAGAATTCAATAATTTTCAAGACAGTTGGAAGCCAATTACTTCAACATACTACCATCAATATCATCCTTGCTGGAAACCTTCAAGATTCATATGTCAGGCAACAACGAAATCCCAGCATATGAATCACTGGCTCGTCCCAATTTTTCTTATCTGACTCCCAAATCTGAAGTCATTAAGACTATAAAACCTGCCTACTTACAAATTTCTTAAATTCTAATTCTATTTTGTTGGAGCCTTTCTGACTCAACTGTTTCCCTGCAATTTTAAGATCACACCTGAGGACTTCTCTACTCACATCTTGATATTCACATCCTCAGGTGGGCATATAATTATTGTTGTTAAGGTGAACTAATTAAGAAGAATGAGACATTAAATGTTTAAAACGATAAAAGTATAAGGAGTTGAATGAAAAGGAGTTACATCTTTCATATCCTCTTCTGTCTGGTATCCCAGCTTGAGCATAGTTGCTGCTAAATACACTGCTAATGGATCTTCTTTGAAAACTTGTGACAGGCCTGAGTAATACTCAACCCTCCTGCGCTATGTGCTACCAATATCACCTATTTGATATCATCAGCAGTTTAATTGGAATCTGTGAAGAAAGAGACTGACAGATGGGGAAGAAGAGACGAGCAAGTGGTGAGCACAACCTGTTCGTTCTCAGGCAAAGCAGACATGAAATCCATGAGAGGTTGATTGTAATCGTCGAAGGAAATAATAGAATCGGCATCAGATCGATCAATTCCAGCGCTTTTGAGGTCTATGCATGAGACCTTGTAGCCAGAATTCTCCATAAGGCACCGAATTTTGTAACAGCACCAACTTCCTCCTCCTATGCCATGTACCAGAACAAAGTGCTGCCTCAAGGGAACCGTTCTTGATTCTGCCATGTCGACCCCTTCCTCTCTCACAGTCGCAGGCATGGCCTTCTCTGCGCTCGCCAGCATTGTATGTGCTTACCTCTCACTCAGTTATTTTGCTTTGGGCCCTGTTGGTGAGGATACATGCGAGGCATATATGGGATTGGGATCTTGTGAATAGTCTCGTAGGGTCGAAACGCATGCTTTTTGATCATTTAAGGGGACTATTGAGGCGTTTCAGTCAACGTATGCCTTCGTTGGATTGATGGGGTCATTTTGCATCATGAGAACTTCGGGAATGTGAGTTAAAACTTGATAATTGTTGAGAAATTTGGGTGAGGTTCATCAAAACCGTAATTTTATGGTCAATATCAGTATATGAGTATCAATATATATTATATAAAACAAAGCTTTATAAGATGAAGGTTTGCTTTCACTGAAGCGAAGGTCGTCTGCGTGTTTGATTGCTGTTAAATCTGTGGTCATAGTCACTAAACTATTTTTGGATGGTTTTTATGGCAGGAAGCGTCTGGAATGTAATAAATTAGACCAACTGCAAATATTGAATGATTGTAATAATTCATAAATAAGATTAAGTGTACAGTGTACAGGAACTGTGATTCGCTTGAACCTGAAAGGGACAACAAATGGAGTCCCAATGCACTGAATTCACGGCGTCTCCTTGTTACTATTTACTACTCAAACTGGAATTATCGCAATATCGTCCCTTTCTAGCGAGATATTAAGTGGGTACCGTGTCCTGCATGGGTTGCATTTTATACCCGTTTTGCTTCAATAAATGTTTATTATAAATTTTATACTTCATTAGGCATGTTTTCTTGAGTAACACTTCGATTTCTCAAATTTTTTTTATCATGTATGAGAAGACACATCTTTTTTAAAAATAAAATTTATATTGGAGTATACTATTCTCAGGTAAAAATATGCATAGGAAAAAAGGTAAATAATTAGTTATAATGAAAATAGAATGAAGAGGAGGACGTCCCAACACAGGACTTTGCACGGTCTATCCTACATGTGTCCGCCATCTTCTCTTTAAGAGACGCAACTAACCAAGACAAAAAATGTAACACATTTGAAAAAAGAAAAAAAAAAACTTTTAAACATCACACTAGACACCAGTTAAGCCATGCCAACAAGATTACGAGTTTATTTAGAATAGCTTATAAGTAGTTTTTTAATCATGATTTAAATATGAAACAAGTATGTGAGATGTGTTTTGTCTTAGTTTACATAAAATGTCTTTGTGAATGATTTTCACTGGTATCTCAAACAGGCCTTATAGATTTCAAAGTCAATTCACAATTATTAAGGCTCAATTCACAATTATTAAGGCAGGAAAGAGGACAAAACACTGCTTTGAAAGTCTATCATGATTGAGTAAGAATCAACCCATAAATGCAGCGTTCATGAGGCCTTGTCGTGGTTAGAAAGAGCCTCTCATGGTATAAAAGAATCAACATAATTAGCGTCAAAAATCTTATAGCTTAGTAACATGAATACTTTTCTATACGGAAGGTTATGTATTGGGTCTGTTTGGGTCAGCGCTGACCAAAAGTAGCTTAAAATGAGTTTAAATTTTAAAATAAGTTAGGTTGCAAATGAGACTGTTTGGTAGAGTTTAAAACTAATTGGGCTTATGTTAAAAACACCTATCTGAACGTCCAATTGCCATAAGCTGCAAAAAAGAGCTTATGACTTAAATTAGAAGAGCTTTTGGCCAAAAAAAAAAAATTCAGAAGAGTTGTTCTGCGATGTTAGGTCCTTTTTTCCTTTCCATTTGCCTGTGCCTCTCACAAGCATAATTTTCGTTTCTTTTTCACCCAGAATTTTATTTCTTCATATTAATTTATTTAAATTTTATTGTATTGTCTGAAATCAATTTTCATCATGTTTATTATTTATTAAAACTCATACCCATTTTGGTAATTTTTCAGCCAAACTTACTTTTACTCAATTATAATCTAAACAAGCTTTTACCAATCTCACTTGTGTAAACTAGCTTTTTTGAACTCCAATCCAAACACAATTCAGCTTATCCAATTTAACTTTTACCAACTTTACTTTTCTATAAGCTACTTTTTCTATAAACTGCTTTTCCAATCGCTGATCCAAACAAGCACTCTATCTCCTTGTAATCTCAGACCACTGTGTCTATCTCTTCAATTCAAAAAATATATTCAACCAAACACTTTCAGAGAGTGAAAACATAAAGTTTACCGTCCACAATAGTGTATAAACTGACAATAACCGTGTTTAAACATATTGATTCAAATATCCATAATCAATCCATAACCTAACGAGGTTTGCACAATGATACTCAACATAGTCCAAATCCGAAATTCCATAAAGATTCATGGTTTACAACAACAAAATTTCAAGAGTATGCAGCATCCGCAGGGACGAAAACGCACCCCCCCTTTCTTTCTTTCTGCCTTCTGGCATATCTAGAGGGTTTATTACCCTTTGCCGTTCTTAGAAAGCAATGAACTCGTAATTATAATTCAAGTATCGCCTGACATTGACTACTACCTCAAAACGATGGCCCCAAAAGAAAGCGGCTCAAATACCAGAGTCATTTTTTTAATCTCCATATGAAAGTATCTCTCGCACGCAAACTTCTCTGGGAATAATGGCCATGATGATGAGCTATAAAATTGAGTAGCTATATATTTAATGCTAATAATTTCCTCGTAATTTTTTTTAAATTTTTTTCAATCGTTGTGGGAAAAAATAATGGGAAAAGGACAAAAGAGGGTCCGGGGGGAGAATTAAAAAAAAAAACTAATGATTTCATACAATTTTCATTTATATTAATAAATGTTTCAATCAAACAACCAAGTGTATTATTCTTTAATATCATAAGTACATTTTTTCCAGAAAAAAAATAGGAACGAGAATTGACTCAAAAATAATAAAATTATCTGTATAAAAATAAATAAATTTATTTATTATATTTAAATTAAAAACCATGACATATAAACATGATAGATAAAAATATTGAGATTCAAATGAATTTCAGAAATTAATATCAGATTTTAAAAGTCCTTTTTCTTGTATTAAAAAATTTAGCAGCAGGCCAAGTGGGCCCCACAACGACAAAGTTGATGCGACATTTTTAAATTTTAAATGTTTAGGCGTTGTGAAGGTTTCTAAAATTTAAGCTCCGCTTTTCAAAATTCATTCATTTCGCGGGCATGGAACATCTGGGCCCAAGGCGTTATATGTTGCGTTCCCGAAACACCCCTATGCAGTCCTCTAATCATTGTCAAGATTTCTACGCGTCCAGATTCTTTGTTCCTTTCTAAGGGTTTATTTTGAACAATTTATAAATAATTTTTTAATAAAAATTTACGGAATACGAGGTAAATATATGAGAGAAATTTTATTTCGATTTACATAAAATGTGTTTATAAAGAATTTCTATCGCTTTGTCAAACGGGGCCATTGAAAATGTACATTCAAGTGATTAATCATCATTAATAAATTACTAAACCAATTAATTAACTTAAATATTTCATTTTTATTATAATGATATTAATCAAGTATCAAATGTTTATTCAAATAGAGTGGGAAGATCTTGCTTTTTTTAAAAAAGAAGAGAGGAAAATCCTAGAGCGGGAAGAGAAAGTGACGAGGGTATATTGGGAAAAAAGGAGCTTACATGACAGCCCAAATTGAGGATTTCTTACACAGTTGTCCTCAACCCATACCTTTCCCGTTGGCTTTGTTTCAAGGCAAACCCACATGCTCTGCTCTTGTTCACTTTCCCGTTTCAGCTTTTTTGGTGATCCATAGAAATCAGAAAAAAGTCTCTATCTCTTTTTCTTCAACTTATCACAGGTCAGTGAACTCCCTCAATTCACAATTATCTCCATTATAATCTTAGTTTTACCTCGTTTAAATTAAATTCTTCACTTTCGCTTTCGTTGTTGGTCACTGTGAGATTTTGTATAAGCGGTTCACCCTAATTCCGACGGTTTTTCCTCTTATACGATTAGTCGGTTGCGTGCCGTTCTGTAATTTACTGGATCTGCTTTACGTCTTCATTCTGTTGAAGATGATGCGCCCCTGCGACCAGTTTGGCCGGGCAAGGCTTAAAATTAGAACTAAACAGAGAAAGAGGCGAAGATCGGTGGAGAGGCATATATTAATAGAAGAAATAATATAACTTAGAATCTTGGATTTGATTCAGTGCTTTGAAGGGACTAATTTCCGCTCACGAACTGCAAAAGAATATTTGCTTTTTGGTCCAATGTTAATATCTGCGATTTGAAATTCGAGCGACAACTGGATACTTGGTTTCAGTTTAGTGATAATTATGATATTATTTTACTTAGCTCCTTCGCTTTTCATTTTGTTTTAACTTTTAGGGGCGAGGGTGAGGGTGAATGAGATAATTAGTCAACCGGTGATTTTTGTGGCGTTGCATTATCATTTCATTCCATTCGTTCTTGTTAACTCTAATGACTTGGTCCTTACTGATTCTTGTGATTGTCCGGATGTAAAATTATAACTAAATCAGCGTTAAAGCAAAATTATACTGCCTTTATAGTTCTCTAGAGCATGAGAATATCTTACCTTTTTGACTCTTTCGAATCTCATCTCCCGATGATTGTAATGGCCAAAATTACACTTTGAAGGCAGTTTACATTCCTTTAGGGCAATTTTCTTGTCTAAGCTGTTAATCTCTGAATTTTAGATGGAGGGCTTCAACAATTCTGCGTCAGGCAACGAAGGAACTGCGTTAATGACTCCATATTACACTCCATACCAGACGAAGGGGCTGAGCAAGTCTGATCTTCCCACTGTCGATATGGACCTGTTTCCTGGCTCGGCTGGTCATAGCTCTGGGGTTTCTTCAAAGCAGACCTCTGGATCACCTTTCTCCTCGTCCTCAGAATCAGAATCTGAAAATTCTAATTCATCCATAAATCGTTACCATGGCTTGCCAATGAATACTGATGGCAATGGACTCCACCACCGGGAGATCAAGCTGAATGAAGGATTTCTTGTCCAGAGTCTCAAAAGCAGATGGCCGGGGAGGATCATACGGATAATACATTGTGGGAAAGTGATTATACAAGTTATGAGGAATTGCTCAGCAAACTCATTAAAACTGAGGAAGAGCTGAGAGATGCAAGATTAAAACTTCGGCTCTCAGAGGAGGAGGTTATCAATTCAAAGAGTCAGATTGTGAATTGTGAGGATCAGCTCCATCATGTGCTAAAGGAATTAAAAATGAGGGAGGGCGATCTTGAATGTGAAAAAGAAAAGGTCCTGAAGTTGCAAAATCAAACATCTGATATGGAAACTCGCGTTCAAGATTGTTGCTGCAAAATTGCAGAGCTGACGGAAGAATTAGCGGTAGCTAGAGAACATCTTAGAGTATCGAAATATGAGATTGCAGAATTAAAAAATAAATGTGATAGTGGTCATGAATTGCAATGTCAGCTTGAACGGGCGCAAGAAAATGTCGCCACATTAGAAGCGGAGCTTGATTCAGGGAGAAAGCAGATTCGAGAGCTGGAAGAAGAAATTACATGGTACAAAGGTAATGAGAGCAAACGTGAGCATGAGGTGTTTGAAGGCTGAAATGCTTGATGCCCAGACCAGGTATTCTTTGGAGAAAGAGCTTTTGAAGTCT